GACATTTCTGAATTCACAAAATTATTCTTTCCGTGTAATTACAAAGAATGATCCCTACAGGGAAAAAACGATTTTGCTGTAGTATCTAAAAATTTAGCTGTGTACAGATTTGAAAAATAACTTCAATTAGCTATCAAAATAATTATGTAGAACGCTTAAATGTTGATAATAATGTTGCAACAAGTTTTGATATTCGCTAGCAATTAGTTCGACCGTACATAATTCATAATTATTTTGATTATGGTCTAACAAAATTACTTTTAGATTGGCTAAATTTTTTAACATTTCTGAAGTCGCAGAATTGTTCTTTTTGCATAATTATAAAAATACAATTCCTACAATTTAAAAATATAAATAGGGCACAGAGCCAAATTAATTTAACGAATTATTTAATTCATATATTAATACAAAAGCAGACGTTTCGACTCCGATCGGGTCATTTTCAATGATACAAATATTGTACTTAAAATTAAATTAACAATTTTTTCTATAAAATCTTCCTATTGTTGAAAATCGTGGAAACAATGCGTTAAGTTTGAACATTCATAATTATTTGTGTCTTATCTTTGATCCTAATAAAAAGTATATAAGTAAAAATTAGCACATTGTTTAAAATTCAATTATAATACACACAAATATAAAAGTCTTATTTACCCTGTCATAAATAATTCCTACATTAATAATTTAGCTAGCAATAATTTAGTTATACAAACACAGAGTTCAAAATAATTTTACTGAACCATTAAAATAATTCGTAAGAATCTCAAGCATGACGAACAATGCTGCGGAAAGTTTTGATATTTTAGCAACTAATTTCAGAATCCCACATAATTATTTTGATAATCCAACAAAATTGTTTTCAGATCCGTAACTAAATTTATAGGTATTTCAGCTATACCGTCCTGTTCATGTAGTTTAATCTCTCTTTTAGAGCCAAGGGTTTAATATTTCAATATTTTGTTAACCACCCACAGACAGCACAGAACATCCATTGGACATCCAGACTTGGTTTCAATCTGGTCCATACGTTCATAAGTAGACTTAGTTAGACGAATGTTTTAAAAACGTACGTTATTCAACGTACAATGTGAACATTTAAAAAATGTTTATCTTATGTAAATAATTTTCCAAGTCTGCTTGCGACGTGTTGCTTTCGCTTAACTTGCCAAGTGAAAATTTTTTTAAGATCGCATGAGGATTTTTTTTTTTTAGAGTCGAAATTGGTTACATACCTAATTTAAATTTTTTTATTAAATTTATGTTATAAGCAGCAAAATATATTGTTTTAATTTTAAGTTTTAGTTCGATGTACTTTACAAAAATTTTATTACATAAACAAAAATAAAACAAATAAAGGACTCTTTCTTTAAAAACATTATAAACATGGAAATGGCATTGTAAGAGTCAAACGAAAAGTAAATTAACAAACAATTAATACATATATTCTAAAATGAACTTATAAAATTTACATAAATGTAACGATTAAAAAACAGATGTTAATTACATTACTAGTTTCGACCACCAAATCTGGTCCTCTTCAGATGAAACACTTTACGTTGAAATGTACATAATTATGGAAAAACATCAATACATAAGAAAATCTTGTGCGTAGTTAAATATATAACAAAAAATTCTTACAAATCTATACGTGAGAATATTAGTTGGTCCGTGAATCCATATATTTACAAAAATAGTCATAATGATAAATGTCACACAATAAGAAAACAGTAAAAAAAAAGAGTCGGAATTGGTCCGTTGAGGATGTTTGACGTGTTCCATGTATAACTTTTTATCTCAAGATGTACTTCGATAGTTTTGTAATATTTCTGACATAAGTTTTTTTTAAAGAAAAAAATTTTTTTTTTTTTTTTTTACTGTTTTCTTATTGTGTGACATTTATCATTATGACTATTTTTGTAAATATATGGATTCACGGACCAACTAATATTCTCACGTATAGATTTGTAAGAATTTTTTGTTATATATTTAACTACGCACAAGATTTTCTTATGTATTGATGTTTTTCCATAATTATGTACATTTCAACGTAAAGTGTTTCATCTGAAGAGGACCAGATTTGGTGGTCGAAACTAGTAATGTAATTAACATCTGTTTTTTAATCGTTACATTTATGTAAATTTTATAAGTTCATTTTAGAATATATGTATTAATTGTTTGTTAATTTACTTTTCGTTTGACTCTTACAATGCCATTTCCATGTTTATAATGTTTATTACATACTTAATGTTATAACCGCTTTATTATTTTCATTTTATGATTTGACTCTAATCGTCCTTCATCTATGCTTAATTATTTTTTTCTTACTTTTGTTACCTCCGGTAACGTGACAATTTACCAAATTAAAGCTTAGTTCAGACAGTACGCAACAAGCGGCAAGTGTCAAGCAACAATAGCTTGCTGCTCGTAGTGATAAGAGTTCAGAATTTTTTGCTTCCAGCGTGCAAATTTGTCTGGATTTTGTGATCTAAAATTTGTTTAATATATTTAGTCCAGTTTTAGTTCATTGCATCCTAAAATGAACGTTCTTAGGAAGTCCAAAATGGTATAACCCTAGATATTTTTAAAACACCCAGTTTTTAAAATAACCATGGATCTAATCTGGATGTTTTTAATATGTCCAAACAACCAACACGTACGTTTTAAATACATTTTTCAAGCATTACTTTTTACTGGGTACTAGTTCCTTTTTTGATAAGATTCGTTTAGCACAGCTAAACGACAGCTCATATCGATATATATATCTGTCAGTTTGGATAACAACCAACTCTTCCGAAAGCGTGAGGTTTCCACGATCGCGCGTCACATCACGGATCGTGAGAATCCATCGACACGGTATTCAATCGTCAATAAGCCACCCACCGAGAAAGAAAAAGAAAGTGAAAGAGGAAGAAAAAGAGAGAAACGAGGACAGCGAATGAACGTAACTCGAGCGAGATTTTGCGTATTTATTCAACGACGCTGCGGTGGCGGATTACGAATGGCGGAGCGTGCGTTCAGTAACGAAAGATCTCACTCGATTCTGCCTAATGCCAGGGGCAGACCGCGCTGCCACGAAACGAACTCGCTCGCTTGCTCGCTCATTCATGGCAGCTCTCATTGGCAACAACCTGTTGCCGCAGTGACGTAACAGACACTTCCTATCGAAGGCGCCACGTCAAACAATACGATTGATTACGCCGATGTGCGGATTAGGTGCGGATCTCGGAAGTAACGACAAGTGGATATGGAAACGCAAACTCCTGAGGAGATTTCGAATCGAACCAACTCGACCCTATTCTTTTACGTGTTTTTTTTTTGGTTGTTCAGACGCCATTGAATTTAAATCGAATGAAATTAAATGAGAAAGTAAATCGTTTCTCTAACTTTAAAAGTTTGTCTCTGAAGGGGCTACGCTGAAAAAGAATAGTAAATTTTAATAAATATTTATTTGTATGATAAATAGTTCTAAATAAATATTTACTAAATGTAAACGTATACCATATTTATTTGATACAAAAGCCAAGTAATTTAACTGCTATTTTTTTATTAAATAAATATTTCTTTACTGTAAATGTTGACTTATTGTTAGGTCTATTGGAAGAAATATGTATTAAGATATTATATATAGAAGAATATATGCTGTACGCAAGTAATAATTACTTGTTTCAAATATTTTAAAAGTTGATATAGCCGCAAATTTATTATAAGTTCATAACATAAGCATAAAATAAATTCAAAATACACACATTCTAAATTGTACGTTTAATACTTCAAGATAATTAAATTAAAACAATTTCGATTTGCTTATTACATAAGTCGTTTCTTCGATCAATTTCATAACATTCTTCAAAAGAAAATAATTTGTTTTAGATTTTTCTCAAATGTAATCGCGATATATTTTAAGTTTACTCTCAAGGAAGTATTTTTTGTTAAAAATAACCGATAAAAGCAAGAAAGTATACTCAGTAATCACTTTTTTTAGCTACAGAACAATATTTTTCTGTATAAATGATAGTTTTCTAGCTGTGAAATAATTGCGTCGAAATAAATGATAGGAATTTTCGAATTTTTTTTCCGTTTAATTTTATGACAAATTGTAAGATAACGGAAAGAGAACTGTGAATATCTCTACGCAATCTGTAACAAAGATAAAAAATTTCACGGAAAAGCTGTGTTACAGCAAATGTTACCCTTAAAATATCGCCGTGGAAAGAAGATCGTCATTAAAGTTTTTCGCGAGCGATACTAATGGGGCCCCAAGGGTGCCCGTTAATTACGCCACTGGCAGGTTGGATGCTGCGTCAGGAGCAATGGCGGCTTACCTGGCTCGCCTGGCTGGCCCTCCCCCCTCCCGCGCCCCCTTTACCTGCGCCTCGGGGGCAAGCCGACGAACCTGTTGCCCGTTCTCATCCAGTGTCGTGTCGGTTTCGTTCTTACGCGGTGGTACGTGTGCTCTCGCGGGGCGCGCGCGCGCGCACGCGTTCAGGTGTCTCTCGGTGTGTTGCGATCGGCGGAAAACGCGACGGAAACGCGCGCGCGCGGCACCGCATGCGATCGGTAACGGCGCGCGGCAGCCGCGATATCGGTGAGACTTTCCTGCGCGTCGCGTCGGCCGATCGATTCGGGAACGATTCTCGGAATTCGGTGGCGGAGCACGGCGACGACGGAATATGAAGCGAAACGTACGTCGCTTTCCCGGATGTATCATCGCGATAAACACTCGTCGTTTACCGATCGCGTGACCACCCGCGAGATGATCGTTCTTGGTCGCGAAACACGTTTGTTTGTCGAATCTTGTAGAAAATTGCGAAATCGGTACGCGAGTGCCGAGTGAAGATGCACCTCTGTCGATCGGCGTGATTTCTTCGATATATCGTTATGAAAAGAAGCCGGCGAGAGAGTCAGAGCGCTCCGTAAGGAGATTTAGACTCCGGGCATATTAAGAGTGTGACGGGAGATAGTTGAGTGCTCGCGCCGAAAAAGGATCGGTGTGCGTAAATTAAGTGCAGTGAGTGGATACTTGATGTGGATCGCGTCTATCGCGATCGTTAAGGACGTCGTTCGGCTACGCTCCAAGGAACTCTCGTCCGTTCATCCATCGCTTCACGGATCGAGGAAGGTGAGTTTTAGTATGAGTTTCACAGTCGCAAATCGATCCTTTCGAGATAACCGAGGAGATAACCGAATTCACTGCAAAACCACACGGAAAGAACGATTTGACTGAAAGATCTCGATTTCGCTGGATACGGATCGTTTTGGAAGCCGAAACAAAAAATAATGAGCAGTCTGCAAGAAAACAATTCTTTTATATCGCATATAATGTATAGATAGTAATCAGGTTGAGTTTCCAACATCATTTCGTTGGAAACTTAAACAGGTGTTCTAAAATATTGAAATTTTTTGCAACGTCTCTCGTGGATTTTTGTGTTTCCAATGTAACATTATTTTAATAATCCAAAATCACTTTCAATGTTCCACAATTAAAATTTTAGATCTTTCAACAATTTTATTTTATTTTTTTTCGTATATTTTGATTTTTTTATTTATTTTAAGCCGTAATCACACTAGCGATTGCGCGATTGTAGTCGATGTGATTGAAGATTACTTTTCAACCAATCAGAGCAAAGCAGTCACCGATTACTTCGCTCCGATTGGTTGAAAAGTAATCCTCAATTGTCAATCACAATCACTCAATCGCTAGTGTGATTACGGCTTTACACTTCTCAAAGGGCGAACGATTTAAAAAACATTAGCGCGGTTAACGACAATATAATTTCAGAGAGGGATCTTTTTCTTTCTTTTATGAGCATTTCGCGGACGGCGGGCTACATCTGATAATGCGGAGATACATGATCATTAATTACGGCGGTATTATAATTTGCGTTTACACCGCGCTGCAAAGAAATTGGTAGGATCTAGAAATGATACGCGGTTTCTACATACAGAATTTCGCGAGGATGCGCGTGATCGCGCGCGTGACAGCGCGATTAACGAGCGCGATTAACGAACGGAGACGCGTAGCGAAGTGTCGGGATAAAGAAAGCGTGCGATGCGGGATCATGACTCATAAGTCACACTCCCGAGGAAACTGCGTAGTCGCACAGGCAGCAGGTAAATATTTCGATTGTGGGCGTATTCCCGCATTCCTGTCACGTACCGATCAAAAGAAAAAGGCCATCTCCGAGACACTCCTCTAAGAAGGGAGAATTATGTAAATGTAATTCTTAGTCATCACAACCGATCGAAATCGCTGGAATGCACCGTGGAGCTCGAACAATTTTAGGAGCACATCCTAAAATTACATCGAACGAAACGACGAAAGCGAAGTATATATGTAAGAAAAAAACTTTTTGTTGATGAAAATCCAAAAATAATTTTGTTACACATCCAACATAAATTTCTATCTAAATGTTAAATCCCGTCTTCTTGTAAGATCTACAAGGAAAGAATGGTTTTGTTGAAGTATCTAAAACTTTAGCTACAGATATAAATCTGAAAATAATTTTGTTAAAAATCAAAATAATGATGTAAGACACTCACCTTGTTAAAATGTCAAAACTTTTTGTAACTAACTAATTTTCTGCGTCATTATTTTGATAAAAGTAAAATCATGTTTTCCATGTAAGATTTCCCTGAATTAATTCCAACGCGCAAGTTATGGGTTTTAAAATAATTTTTCAGTAGTATTTTTCATACAACTTTTCAGACATCATATAAGTATCCTAAGTTTCCATTTTTACTTGGAGTTTCTGTTGCACTTATATATGGAATATTCTGAAAAGAAACGTAAATTTTGCAAAGTTAAAAAATATCTCTCTAGTTTGTGACAATGGGCGAGTGAAAATTATAATGAACAAAAATGGTGCGCTAGAGAGAGAGAGAGAGAGAGAGAGAGAGAGAGAGAGAGAGAGAGAGAGAGCTTGATCCACAGCATACATATACCGTCCTACGTAATTTTCTCTCGCATTATATAGGCGCGACAAAAAATCTCCATTACTTTATAAACGACAATTTTTCCCCGGCGTCACGCAATTTTCTCAATTTCTCAAGCCTAATCTTTGCGATTGTCTTTTCCTCTCATATCCGTACACTTAAAGATTTGAGTATAATTTCGTAGAATTGTTAAGCACAAAGTAACCATGTATTCATATACCCGGCAGAACAGTGCCCTTCTGTGGCTTTAAACTTAGTACCGTCGTCTTTCTCGCAGCTCGCCGTTTCCAATTACGTACTTGGAACGGGAGGGAGCGAGCAAGCGAGAGAAAGAGAGAAGAGAGGGACAAAGAGGGAGAGGATAGCGAAGGAGAGAACGGAGGATGCTGGATGCCGTGAGACCGTTCGTCGAAGCAATACCCGAGATCGTAGCGGAGGTGAGTGTCCGCTCCTTCTGCTTGGAATGTTGCGTTGTTTCTCGTCTCCCAAGAAGCAAAGAAGCATCTCTCTTCCGATTATACCTCGATGATCGATACTCGTTAGTTTCATCTTTTTTTAAAATCATTCGATTCATTTTCCAAAAAACAAAAAAAAACAGCTCGCACTGAGAAAAACGTAGTTATATGCGTAAAAAAAAGCCGTAATCACACTAGCGATTGCGCGATTGTGATTGACGATTGAGGATTATATCTCAACCAATCAGAGCAAAGCAGTCACCGATTGCTTTGTTCCGATTGGTTGATAAATAATCCTCAATCGTCAATCACAATCGCGCAATCGCTAGTGTGATTACGGCTTTAGAATACATGTTGCATATTGTATAAGTAATGTACTTTTCAAATTTTGCAAAGTAAATTTTATACTTTAGACAAAATTTACTTCACTGCGCGTAATATAAAAGTGCAGAGCCTTAAGAAGTTCGTGCTTACAGCCTTGAGAATAATACGATTTACTTTTGCTGTAAGTATAATCACTGAAATGAATTTGCTACATAATTGTAATGTACTTTTTACCTTATATATGTATACCCTCCCATTTTTTACTTTCGGGCAAGTAAAACTTGTCATGAGTTCGACAAAAATAGCCAGAATTTTTTACTAAATTCGTAAGATCCATTTTTACTATATACCCATTTTTCTTCGTGCGATTTTTCTTTGAGCGAAATTCGTTGCTCTCGCGAATCGATCACTGTTTTGACGGCAAGTTCCATTAATCATCTTTTTAATCCAACTTAAAATCGACCGCGACTTTTTAAGTCGCAGTCTTCAAGTATTATATTTTCCTGCGTTTCGCACGGTCACGCGGCTTTTCGTCTCTCGTCTGACGGTCGAAGAGCGCTGCATCGTTTCGTAGTTCACTGATTTCTCGGTGCAGAATTTGATTAAGCAAAGTGCAGTTGCGCTTTACGGAAAATAACGCAATTAAGCGTACCGAAAGCGGCTTCGGATGGTCGAGTGGAATGTAATTTACACCCCAAAATCGACGAGAAATGTTCCTTGTTCCATTTGAGTTTATAAGAATAACAATTAAGGCTCCTGAATACCGGTGACGGCCATGTTGGAATTGTAACGTCATAGGCGAGAAAAATACTTTAACTTTTCTTACGTCCCATTTTTTAATAAAGATAATTTGGATAAATTTAAAAGGCGAGATCGCACAAAAACACTTGTGAAAATTAGCAGGAACTGACCTTTCCTCCTCTGATGTCAGTGAATGGTCATAAAAGGCACGTGAAGTGAGCCTATTCTCGGGCAGAATCACACAGTTTAACAGCTGATGAAACGAGTGAAATATACGTTTTTACGTATAAAATTTCACGATAACTGCAGTTTCCGCCAATTTTTAGGACTTTCACGAGTACGAGGGAAGTCACATTTTCACAAATAAGCAAATATTGACGAAATGGTATGCAAGAAAAATTTTGTCGTCAAAACTGGTCAAAACATCACTTTTCCACGCCTATTAGTTCAGCCTTTTACCATGGCGAGGCGCTATACACACACACAAGCATGAACCCATATCTGTATGCTCCCCTTCTACCCGAAAAAGAGCACACGGACATGAGCTTGCATATGTGTGTATAACTACCAGTTTTGCTAGGCCACCGACTAATTCGGTGTCGCTACCATCAATACGGAGTTCTTGGCTGAGTATTCAGGAGCCTTAAGCAAAAAGACTAATTATAATCAAAATATTCATCACGATGCAAAAAAAAAAGAAAATTAATTAATCGTAAATAGGTAATATAGAGATAAGAGATAATCCATCCAGTTTGAATTAAATAAAACGCTGCGAAACAGCACTCTCTAAATTTCTTGAAGCAAAGTCTTACTTCAAAAGAATTAAAACACTACCATTATTGGTGAAAAAAAATGTGAAAACGATTGCATGGAATAAAAGTGACAGATTTTCACTTTTTTAGGAGTGAGATTTATTCCAAAAAAAAGGAAGTGAGATTTCTTTCTGTTGGAATGAATCTCAAGAAATTTAGAGAGTATAGATTAATTTAACTTTTTTTTGTTGTGGCAAGAATCAGAAAGCAAGAATCAGAAATTTTGCAACTTGTGTGACTTGTCATATGCAGTTTGCCGCATATTTTCGACGTGAACCTTAAGCCGTAATCACATTAGCGATTGTGCGATTGTGATTGACAATTAAGGATTACTTTTCAACCAGTTAGAGCAAAGCAATCAGTAACTACTTTGCTCTGATTGGTTGAAAAGTAATCCTCAATTGTCAATCACAATCGCACAATTGCTAGTGTGATTACGGCTTTAAGTAGCTGCAAGCTGTCGCTATGCTATTCGGCCATTCGGCTTTACATCACGTATTCTTATCGATGCATGCAGGATAAACCAAGTGCCACCTTACAGTCGCGAATGTAGACGCTAACTTGAAACGAAATCGCATGATATCGTTCTCATAAATATTAAAAACGGAAGAGCTGAATTAAGAGAGAAATAACTCGCCTATTACACTCGACAAAAGTGCGTGTCTATTTCTTTGTTCGAAGTTACTTCTTCCTGTTTGTTTTTATTTTCCGTGACGTAACGCGACTGCCGTTCACGCGAAACGTCGTGGAAAATCGAATGGGAAATTGTCAAGAGTCAGTCTATCGGAAAAGCTACGAAATGGAACGTTTACTGTAAAACACGAGGCACGAAGTGCAGTCGACAAATCTGACGTAAGCAGGACTACCTGAGGATGGCTACTCTTGAGCTTTGAGAGAAAAATTCCTTTCGAACGCCTTTCAGAGAAGCCATAAAATCGCATCGAGCTATGGAAGCACGTTTCACAGGTCGAATAATACCCGAGAGAAACGAGGAGAACAATAATAAGCACGGCGCGAGAGATCGTTTGCGTGAATAGTGGCAGAGTGGTTAAAAAACGGGTCGCGAATGGAGGAGGCGAGCCCCTTCGGTGTAACCAGCACATGTCTCTCGCGTAGTGCAAACGTCGCGTCGGTGTGGGTGATAAAAGGACACCGTTAACATAGCGACGAACTCCGGAACATTAGGCGAGATCCTCTCGTTCGTGCACTTGGGCAGTAACCATGCGGACCATAAGCTGGTCCGCCGTTCTCGCCAGCGACGCCAGCCTCCGTGTACATTCAGCATGCGCGCGCTCGGCTGCAGCCAGACGACTCACCATCTCGTTTCACTTTGATGTTGTGACCGCGCCGCATTCCTTCTCTCCTTCACCACCGCGTCCCCGTTTACCCGTTTCCTCCATACCGCTCTTCTACATCCTCTCGAACCGGCACTCTCTCCCCCTCCCCCCTTCTCTCTCTTTCTCTCTCTCTCTCTCTCTCGCTCGCTCCATCTGTCTCTTTCCCTCTCTCTTTTCCTCGTTCTCTCTCTCTACATACACTCGCGCGTGCACACAAAGGAAACGCCATAACGCCGCGTGAGATGAGGTCGCATCGAGACAGGAAACGTCGAGGGACGCATCACACGCGCACGTTTTCTCCCAAAAGCCAGAGTTTTCCGTGACTTTACATCTCTTGTTTGTAACGAGTACCGTGAAAATTCATCACGACGATGTTTCTTTCTGAAGCGTACCTGCACGCGTGGAAAAGCATTATTTTACTTTTTAATCGCGTCACTATATTTTTGTACCATTAGCTCACCAAATCTTTCGCCGGTTCGAATATAAAAAATTATTATAAATTTTAATAAATAAATTAGAAAATAAAGGACTCTTTATGTAAAAAGAATTAAGCATAGATGAAGGACGATTAGAGTCAAATCATAAAATGAAAATAATAAACCTCGTTGATAGGGTGAGTTTTTTAATTCAGTATAAATCCATCGCATTTTCATCGGACGATTGACAATATGGCGTCTTCGATGGACGTTTGATGGTCAATTTTAAAGAACGGTTTGATGAACTTTTTGCAATTCTGCTATTCAGTAGTGACTACGATTACAAAATTGTTAAGAAGACTACTAAGCACCAGCAATTTAATAAATGCATAAATTAATTTTTGAACTATTATAAAACTTTAACCAATAATAAGATGCCTCATATTTTTTATCAAAGCTGTATATTTTTACATATTATTTACATGTACATATTTTTTGCAATAATCATTGTATACTTAAGTACATACCTCAATTGAAATTCTGGATATTCTAAAATGTGCTTTAAAATCCATATCTGTAAACATATAATGGCACTACTTTTGAAAAAAAATTTTCAATTTTTATGTGCTTAACACATTTACGTTTGATTAATAATAAATCCAATTCACTATTATTACTGTTGCTGGTCATTGAAGATGAAGAAGAGGAATCAGACGAAGATTTATTTTCAAACATTTTTTTTATTAAATTATATTTTAATATTTCTATGATATGTATTTCCATATTGTAATGTCCGTAAAACATTAACTAATAATCATGTTTTAGGTTAAGAAATATACCCCCCACTATGTTCATCAGAAATTTCATCAGTCCATCGACTAAATTAGTCGATGGATCTGATGGATATGCGATGATTACAGCGCTGTAAATAAAAACGCATCGATGTATTCAATCGATAAATAAAAGAACTCTGATGCATTTGCGCTTCATGCGATTGATCAATCGATGAATTAAAAAACTCACCCATATTGGCTAGTATACGATTTTCCCATTGTTTACTGCCAATATGTAGTAAATGGAGAAATCGAGGAGTTAATATTTTATCGAATTAAACTACATAAACGGAATGTTTTTTGGAATGCCTGAAGATGACTCGATCCAAGAGTCGAAACTGGTTGCGTAGCGTAATTTCAATTTTTTAATTAAATTTATGTTATAAGCGACAAAATATATTGTTTTAATTTTAAGTTTTAGTTCGATATATTTAAAAAAAATTTTATTACATACTTAATATTATAACCGCTTTATTATTTTCATTTTATGATTTGATTCTAATCGTCCTTCATCTATGCTTAATTATAAATTTTAATAATCATTCAAATGAATTATGGCAACAAGCACATTGAACAAATTTACTAAATTTTATTAAATACTTGTTCGAATA